CCTTTCGGCAGTGCCCCCCAAAGAGTCACTTGTCAGCTGAGCCTTCCCTCTCCTCCAGGCCACCGGGACAGACCAGGTGGTGGGACTGGGCCTCGTCGCCGTTAGCCTGCTCATCTTCACCTACTACACCGTCTGGGTGATTCTCTTGGTACGTGTCTGCACCTCCCGCGCTCACCTTCCCCACCTCTGGATCTCGTAGCCGCCCCCCAAAAAGCATTTAATCCAAGCACTGTGCGGGTGCTTCACCTGCTTTATCTGAGAAGGATGCTGGTGGCCCCAGCGAATTATAGACGAGGAAATAGGCGCAAGGAGAAGGATCTAGCCCAAAGTCGCATTCTGCTACACTGTGAAGCCCTGTTCAAAGTTACTCTGCCTTCTGGTGAGTCAGCTGGCTCCTGGGCATGGTGAACACCAGGACTTAATGAGTACCTTTAAGACTTAAAAAAAAATTTTTTTTCTTCCGATGTGGGAAAATTTGTTAGTTGCTGCTTAAGAAGTGCAATATAGCAGGGCACCTGTAATCTTAGCTGCTTAGGAGGTTGAGATCTGAGGATTCTGGTTTGAAGCTAGTCTAGGCAGGAAAGTCTGTAAGACTTTTTTTTTTGGCAGTCCTGAGACTTGACCTCTGGGCCTAGGCTCTGTCCCTGAGCTTCTTTTGCTCAAGGCTGGCACTCTACCACTTGAGCCACAGTGCTAGTTCTAGCTTGCTTTTTCTGTGTATGTGGTACTGAGGATTCAAATCCAGGGCTTCATGCATTCGAGGCAAGCACTCTACCATTAATCCACATTCTCAGCCCCCATAAGATTATTATTATTATTATTATTATTGTGGGTCATGGGGCTTGAACTCTGGGCCTGGGCGCTGTCCCTGAGCTCTTCAGCTCAAAGCAAGCACTCTACCACTTGAGCCACAGTGCCACTTCCCTCCATAAGACTTTTATCTCCAATTAAGCATTTTTAAAAAAAAGCTGGAACTGGAGCTGTGATGAAAGTGGTCGAGTGCTAGCCCTGAGCAACAGAGCTCAGGGACAGTGCCCAGGCCCTAAGTTCACGCCCCAGGACCAGCAAAAAAGTGCAGTATAAGCCAGCACTGGTGGGTCATGCTTATACTACTAGCTACTGAGGAGACTGAGATCTGAAAATTGTAGTTCAAAATCAGCTCAGAATCAGCCCAGGCAAGAAACTCTGTGAGACTCTTATCTCCAATTAACCACCAAAAAGGCCAGTAGAGGTGTATCTCAAGTGGTAGAGTGGCAGCCTTGAGAGATAAAGCTAAGGGACAGCACCGAGACCCCAGTACTGGCACAAAAGAGAAGACCCAAGAGCCCAGGCTGGGAATCCCTAGAGGGATCCTCATAGAGTCTTTGCTGGCCTAAGGTACTCAGATCCTCATCATCAAGTAAATACCCAGGAAGCAATTTTATTTTTTATTAATTCTAGTCCTGGAGCTTGAACTTAGGGCCTGAGCACTGTCCCTGACCTTCTTTATGCTCAAGGCTACACTCTACCATTTGAGCCACAGTGCCACTTCTGGCTTTTTCTGTTTATGTGGTACTGAGGAATCGAACCCAGGGCTTCATGCATGCCAGGCAAGCACTCTACCACTGAGCCACATTGCCAGTCCAACAATTATTTTTTTAAATGAAGAAAGGAAAGGAAGAAATGGTACTGACCCACCACATCTCCCCTCAAAATAAAAGCTATCATTTTAAAGAAAAACAGATGCCTTTCTAGTATTCTCAACATAGCTCCGTGGATGGAGGAGGTGAGCTTGGGACTGGGCAAGTACTCTGGTAAGCAGTACTCACTAGAGCTCTGCCCCCCATGCCAGCCCTTCATCGACAGCCAGCATGTCATCCACAAATACTTCCTGCCCCGAGCCTATGCGGTTGTCATCCCGCTGGCTGCCGGCCTCCTGCTACTCCTGTTTGTGGGTAAGTTTTCTCTTCTCCCAGCACCCATTGCTGCTTCTCTGATCATGGCTGTCTTGAGGCCTTGGGCAGGGCGGTGGAGGGCTCATTTCTGGGCAGGTTTCTGACACTCCTGCACAGCTACTTGAGGCTCATCACTACCAACTCTCCCAGGGGTTTTCCTGCTCCTCCTTCAAAGCCACAAGTCAACAACCTCTCTGGTCTCCTCAGGGCCAAAGACTCTAATGTCTCGCATATTCCCATCCCTAATCACTTCCTAGGCTACTGTTATACAAGCCCACCTGGACTCATAGTTCCTTTATTTTTCATGACTGGAGACTGTGTCTTTGTTGTTAGTGTTCTCAGTACCTGAACAGACTTAGACTATTCCAGGGGAATAGTTTGGATGAATCAACCAGCAGATAGCTGTGTGATAGGAAGAGAGGTAGGGGAGGTGGTTAACAGGTAGACCTCATTCATGGATCTGAAATACCAACAGCATCTTGCCTGATGGAGGCACTCCTTTGGTGATTGTTGGATCAATGTAGGTGGATGAGGAGGTAGAGCCTGAAAGGTGGTTGGGCAAGCACAGGACCTAGCATGTGGGCCATTCTGCCACACCCCTCCCCCAATTACCTCCTAGCCTCCCCCACCCCTCCAGAAAGATCTGAGTGCAGATCTTTCATGGCCTGACTGCTCTGTATTCTAGGACTGTTCATCACCTACGTGATGCTGAAGAACCAGAAGACCAAGAAGGCCCAGTAAGGGGTGGGCAGGGTTGAGGCTGCTGGCTCCTCTGCATTCCCTCCAAGCCAGGGACCAAGGGTTGCAGCCTGCAGGACATCTGGGCATGGTGGCCTCATCCTGGCTGCCCCACAGCCATCTCCAGAGAGCTGCTTAGGAGCCAGCCTCTGACAGACTGGGGCCCCCTCTCCCACTCACCATTCCAGAAACCAGGAGAGAGGAGGACTGGAAGCTGCCCACTTAACTGCTTCTGTCTCAGCCTGAACCATGATGGTCCTGACCTCTCTGTCAGACTCCTTGTCACCTTTTCCTCTGGGCTCTGCCTTCCTGCCCAGTTTCCCTCCTGTCTCATGCTGATGATGGACTTCGCAGGTTCTGGGACTGCACATGACCTCTCCTTTCCTCCTGCATGTCCTCCCCTCCACCAAGTCAGTTCTTCCGGGTCTGACACAGCTCAGGTCCCACAAGGACCTCTGGACCTGGAAAGCCCTAGGAAAGGACTGACAGACCCCAGGACCATAGGACCACGCCAGTCCCCTCAGCCCCAGGCCTGTTTGGAAGAAGAATAAATGTTGATCATGTGTTTGACTCTGTCATTTGTGAATGAGGAGCTGTGCTGTAAGGGGCAGAGCTGACCCTTCCTTGGACTCAGATCAGAAGGCTCTGGTTATTCAGTGACTCAAATGCCTCTTCTGCACTGTCCCTCTTTTGGACATGGAATAAGGCAGGAACTAGGACAGATGTGGTTCTAGCTGGGTAGCACTCAACATTGGGGTTCAGCAAAAGTCTAGGCACACATCTGCCATACCTTCCCTATGGTGCCTTGGCCAAGGTAGACCCCCTTAGGGACCCTCTGGTCATTCCCCTAAAAGCTTAAGCCCATTGTTTGTTTACCCAGCTTAGTGGAGTCCTGAGCTGCCTGAGTCAAAGACCCCTTCTGTGTTCTGGTGGGGTGAGACAGTGCAGGCTCCAGCCCTTGCTAGGCCCCCTGTGGGCAGCAGCTCTTCCAGTGTTCCAGTGCCTATAGGAATCTTCTGTCCTCCAACGGTGGGTGTTCACTCAGCTGCCCACTGGGCGTTGGGTGCCTCCCTTAGCCTCCATTGCTATAATAGGAGTGTCTTGCGAATGTTCTCCCCTCCCCCGCCTCTGGCTGCCTCTTCCCAGTATTCCCCAAGTGTGCTCCCAGCCCCACTTCCAGGACTCTTTGTCAACCTGGAAATTCCCTCCAGGACCCTCCTCCCTCTCTTTGGCCCCTTTCATGATTTCCTTCCCCTCCCCCACTCCCTCCCAGGCTGCACTGAATCTCTGGCCCCATCACTCCAAGGAAGATGACCCACTCAGCATGCAGAAAAGGCCTTTAAATCTGATCCAGTCCTGATCCTCGGCCCCATCTGGCTGTGACATCCCCCAAGTGCATCTCAGATACTCTTGGTGTCTCTGATGACTGGTCACCTGCTTGATGTCATCTACTATGAAATACTGGGCTCTGAGGACTGTCTGTGGCCTCTCTCCACATCCTCCCCTGCTGATCTCATGATACTGTGGGGAGGAGGGCATAGATGGAGCTCTGTAAGATGACAAGAAGGAACGAGGCAGAGGGGAGTCTGGGGGTAAAATACTTTAGACAGGGCACAGCAAATGAAAACGCCTGCAGGTGAGACTTCGGTGGCTGGCTCGGTGTTATAGGGAGGAAGAATGATGGGAGTTGGGTCTGGTGTAGGACAGACAGCCTGGGGCCACGGAGAAGAGTTTTTGTCCCGTTGCAGTAGGAAGCCACTTGAGGCTTAAAGCAGGAGAGTGACATCATCTGATTCATTCTTTTAAAAGATCATGCTGGCAGCTGTGTTCCTCCTGCTCCCTCATTACCGAGCCTCCCCAGTGGAGGTGCCAAATATAGGTTTTGAATGAATGAATGGATGCCTGACTTCCTGTGCGACCTGGCGGTAGTCACTTCTTTCTCTGGACCTTAGTTTCTTCACAGGCAAAGACAAGAGTCAGTGGGCATTTCATGCCTGAATAGGTGGGCGGGGCAGGACTTCGTTTACCCTAGAGGCCCCAAAACCTGCACCTCACTCCCGGGGGAAATTGAGGGGAGAGTCGACCATCCGTTTCCAGGACCCCCAGCCAAGGCCGGCAGCCCCACCCCACCGGGACCTGGGTCCAAAGGATGCTGCAGCCGCGGGGGCGGGACCCGCCGGCGGTCACCAGCGCCCCTCCCGCGCGGATAGGGCGCGGTAATCATCTCTGCCTCGTGATTGGTCCGTCCCGAGGCAGGGGCGGGGCCTGGTGCCTGCAGCGGGGCAGCCGGGACGCAGCTCAAGCCCAGGAAGCTGCTGAAGGGGGGCCATGGCCGGGCCAAGCCCCGGGCCTCACAAGGTATGTGCGGACTTGAGGGGGAACAGGAGGGAGAAGGGTTGGTGGGCGGCAACTGGGCCTCCCCTCCGCCAGCGGCGCGGACACGCCCCCATGCCAGCCAGGGAGGGGCCCTGCCTGGGTGAGGACCAGGACACGCCCCGCTTGGGGCGCAGGTATGAAGAGGGGGTGTGATCTGGCGGGTAACCCCCGCCAGGTCTGTCTCAGTGTCCTTCTGGGATAAATGATCATGAAAGCTCTTTCATAGGGTTGCTAAGGAGCTCGAGCTCTCGGCCAGTTTGGGGGCGCATGGGGGGGCGCCCAGTTAGTAATGAAACGAATGGTATGACCTCAGCGTCATGCTGACCCTCCACGCTGGCCGGGAGAAGTCGGTACAGACCCGGGGGCAGAGTTCACCGCATCCCCTGGCTTCACAGCTGCTGCTCTCATGACCCGTGCACAGATTCCAAACTCAACAGGAAGAGTTAATACCAGTCACCAAGGGGCCTGGGTTGGTTGACCCAGGTGATGTACCCACTAGAGTTGTGCATGGAGAGAACGGGTCAATCCCAGCTGGGTTTGACTGCAGAACGCAGGCTCTGCCTACATTTTATTTAGATGCTGATTCTGAGCCAGGTGAGTGAGCCTGGTGAGGAACCCTGCCTTATCGCTGAAGAGACCCAGGCAGAGCCAGGTGAAGGGAAAGGTCATGGGTAGTGGAAATGGGACTCGGATTTGGTTGCGTCTTTCCCCTTCTGAGATGCTACCACATGCTCTTTGCCTTCCTGTGCCTCTTCCTCCTAGATCCTGGCCCCCTCTCCTGAGGCTGGACACAGAACAGCCACCTCCAGCCGCCGTGGCTTCCTGTGGCGCCTACGGGACAAGCAGTGTCGCCTGGGCCTGTTTGAGATTGACCCGGGACATGAGCTGCACAGGTTGACATGTATGATGCAGGCAGGACTGTGGGCTGCCACACAGGTCTCCATCGACCACCCACCCACGGTGAGTGGTCACCTCATCTTGCACACCCCCAAAACACTGAGGGCAAGACCTAGCCGATGGTCTGTCTTGCTAATAAAGCTACACTGGGACCAGAGAAGGGCACTTCAGAGGAAGAAGGCAGGGACTTGTGCAGGGATGGGATGGTGGGCGCTTCCAGGTTGGCAACTGGAATGTTCTGGATGTTGGCTGTGTGAGGAACCCCCTTACTGAATTGGTTGCTGTGTGATTTGTAATTTGTCGTGGACTTTGCCTCAGTATCCCCATCTGTATAACTGGTGGGGGGATTATATTTCTTGGTTTCTGAGGCCCTCTCAGCTCTTCCAGAGTGTATGGTTAAGGGACCCCACCCCCACTAGGCCAGCCCAGCCCATTCTCCCTGGAGCTCAAGCTAGGGCCCTGCTAGCTCAGCAGAAAGGGTCACCCAGCTGCCAGCTCAGCAGCAGAGCAGGCGGGTGAGCATATATGTTGTTTCTGTGTGTGCCCATGTGCCTAGTCTGACCACATCCTACAGGATGGGCAGGAGGACCAGGGAGAGTACAAGATCCAGGGGGAGTCCTCTAAACCATAACCTAACCTCATCACCTGCTAAAAATCTCCTATGGCTCCAGCCTGGCCTGGCCACCCTGCAAGGGACAGCAGTCCAGTCCATCCATGTTCTGTCCTCTGCCCTGGCTGCAGACACTGCGACCCCTTTTCTTGCTGGTAGCCACCAGTGCTGTTTGCATTGTCATGAGCACCCTTGAGGGTTCAGCTCAGAAGTCATCTCCTCCAGGCAGCCTCTCTGATCTGGCCCTAGCCTGCATCAGGTGATCATTTGGCTTCTGTGCTATCTCCATGTACTGGGATGGAATTGGCTTCATGTGTTTGAGGATACATGCTCAACTTGAACTCAAGACTTTGGTGCTGGGGACCCAGTGGTAAATGAGACACATCTAGACCCTGCCTCCCGTCATTCTTCTTCCTCCAACCCTGGGCAATGTGGCAGCCCATTGCAGGCACACTCAGGGACGTCATGGGTTCTGTTTTGCTGAAGGACCCAAATGGAGGCTGGGGTGCAGGTACAGGACACTTAAAGATCCTCAGGTGGGCGGCGGGAGGCCTTGACTTTCCTTGAGACCCTCTACCTATCTCTGCAGGGCTCACCCACCCAGGAGGATTTCTCTGAAGTCATGACCCAGGTTCATGAGGAGGTAGGAAGCCCGAGACGGGTGGAAGGGGCCCGTAATGGCCTTTGTTCCCCTTGTCCGAGTTTCCTGACTGCATGGTGGGTAACGTAGCCCCTGAGGCCTTTGGAGGAAGGGTGACGCTCCTGTACCAAGGCCACCTGCACATGGACCGGCACAGACCCCCTTGGGGCCGCTTTCCCCCCTGCAGGGCTTCGAGCTGGGCACCCTGGCCGGCCCGGCCTTCGCGCGGCTGCGGCGCTCCCTGGGCCTGGTGGAGGAGGACTACCAGGCTGCGCTGGGCCCCGGTGGCCCCTACCTCCAGTTCCTCAGCACCTCTAAGAGCAAGGCCAGCTTCTTTCTGTCGTGAGCTGGCGGCGGGGGTGGGGCGGGAGGCGGGGTGGCGGGGATGCGGGGCGGCGGGACAGCGGGGTTGCGGGGATGCGGGGATGCGGGGCGGCGGGGATGCGGGGATGCGGGGCGGCGGGGATGCGGGGCGCGCTCTTTGAGACTCACGGGCGGCCCAGGTTCTCAGGGACGCGGTGGGAGCCGCTCCAGCCAGCTTGGGGGGAACCTTGTGCTTCCGCCCCGCAGCCACGACCAGCGCTTCTTCCTGAAGACCCAGCAGCGCCAGGAGGTACAGGTGCTGCTCGCCCACCTGCCCCGCTACGTACAGCACCTGGAGCGGCACCCGCACTCTCTGCTCGCCCGGTTGCTGGGTACCGGGGGCCGGGGGCGGGGCCTGCGTGGCAAAGTAGCCGGAGAGGGCGGGCGCGTGGGCGGGGCCAGGAGAAACCGGCTGTGATTGGACATTCCGGGGGGCGGGGCCGAGACCTCTGAGCTGTGTGGCTGGGCATCTTGACCTAAACTGAGGAAAAGTCGTGTGGGCGGGGCCTTGAGGGATGGGCTGAGGGGGAGGAGCCGTTCTTGAGCGGGCAGGGACCTGGTTCTGGGGTTGCAGACTCTGGGGTGCTCACCTGACGCCCTGTCCCCTTTCCAGGAGTGCACAGTCTGCGGGTGGCCCAGGGAAAGAAGGTGGGTGAGGTAGAGGCAGGTGACTGGGCGGAGGGGTGTCCGGAGGGGAGACCCTGACTTCCCTCATTCCCCACCCCGCCTCAGAAGTACTTCATCATCATGCAGAGCGTCTTCTACCCCACCGGCCGCATCTCTGAGAGGTGAGTCCCCTCACACCCCCCTAACAGAGCCTTGACCCCCTACCACTACCGGCCACGTGGTACAGAAAGGAGAAGGGAACAGCGTGCTGGAGGCTCACACCTGTCATCCTAGCTACTCCGGAGGCTGAGATCTGAGGATCATAGTTGGAAGCCAGCCTGGGCAAGAGGATCCATGAGTGTGTGTGTGTGTGTGTGTGTGTGTGTGTGTGTGTGTGTGTTCTGGAGCTTAAACTCAGGGCCTGGGCACTGGCCCCGAACTTCTTTTGCTCAAGGCTTGCACTTTACCACTTGAGCCACAGCACTGCTTTTGGCCTTTTCTGTTTATCAGGTACCGAGGAACTGAACCCAGGGCTTCATGCATGCTAAGGAAGTACTCCACCACTAAGCCACATTCCCAGCCCCCTCCCTGAGCTTTTTTGCCCAAGTTTGGATCTCTACCATTTGAACCACAACTCCATTTCCTGCTTTTTGGTAGTTAATTTGAGATAAGAATCACAGACTTAGTGGTGCTGTGGCTCAAGCGGTAGAGCGCTCGCCTTGAGCTGAAGAGTACAGGAATAGTGCCCAAGCCCAGAGTTCAAGCCCCATGAACAAAAAAAAAAAAAAGCTGAGCGCTGGTGGCTCATGCCTGTAATCCTAGCTACTCAGGAGGCTGAGATCTGAGGATCGCAGTTCAAAGCCAGCCCGGGCAGGAGAGATCGTGAGACTCCTATCTCCAATAAACCACCAGAAAACAGGAAGTGGCGCTGTGGCTCAAGTGGTAGAGCGCTCGCCTTGAGCTGAAGAGCTGAGGGACAGCACCCTGTCTGGGCTGTCTTTGAACTGGAATCCTCAGATCTCAGGACTCCTGAGTAGCTAGGATTTACAGGTAACAACCACCTGGTGCCCAGCTTGCCCATGAGACTCTTAGCTACAATAAACTACTCACAAAAAACTGGAAATGGAGGTGTGGTTCAAGTAGTAGAGCACTAGCTTTGAGTAAAAAAGCTCAGGGGCAGTGTCCAGGCCTTGAGTTCAAGCCTTAGAACTGGAGCACCATGCATGCATGCATGCACACATGACACACACACACACACACACACACACACACACACACGGCCAGCATCTCTTGAGTAACTCAAACCTACCTCCATTGAGCTGTAGGTGTTTTTTCGCGTCTGTGCTGGTAGTGAGTCTTGAACTCAGGGACTGGGTGTTGTCAAAGCTCTACCACTCAAGCCTCACCTCTACTTCTGGCTTTTTACATTAATTGGAAATAAGTCTCAATCTGCCTGTAAACCATGACCCTCAGATCTCAGTCTCCTGAGTAGCTAGGATTTACAGGCATAAGCAACCTGGACCTGGCATAATCTTAAAAAAAAAAAAATCTTCTTTACATCAAGAAGGACCCTGAGCTGGGCAGGTCACGCCTGTAATTCTAGCTACTCAGAAGGCTGAGATCTGCGGATCAAGGTTTGAATCCAGCCAGCCAGCCAGGAAAATCATGAGACTCTTATATATATAATTTACTTGAGTGGCTCAAGGGGTAGAGTGCTAGTCTTGAGAGAAATAAAAAAGCTCAGGAACAGTGCATAGGCCCTGAATTAAGGCCCCAGGATCAATACTCCCCCTGACACCAAAAAGAAGAAGGAAGAGGAAGAGCACCCTGAGGGGTGGCTGTTGTCACCATCATATTTTTTTATTCTTTCTCCTTCCTTTTTTCCTTTTTCCTTCCTTCTTTCACACTCTCTCTCTCCTTCCTTCCTTCCTCCTCCTCACCTTCCTTTTCCTCTTCTTCCTCTCTTCTTCTTCTTCTTCTTCTTCTTCTTCTCCTCCTCCTTCTCCTCCTCCTCCTTCTTCTTCTTCCTTTCTCTCTCTCTTTCTCTCTCTCTCTCTCCATATAGACAGGGTCTCCTCACGTAGCCAAGGCTCACCTTGAACACAACCTGGCTTCCTGACTACACCTTCATAGTTCTAGGATTACAGACAGACACCAGCATACCTAACTAACCAGCTTCATTTTCTAGCTGAGAAACTGGAAGGCCAAGATTGGGCAGCCAGTAGGATCAAGGATTCAAAGCCAACCTCTCTTAACTGCATCCAACCTTGTCTCTGACCCAGGTTCTCTATTAGCAATTTCCCCAGGCCCAGCTGTTTCCTTCTGGTCCCAAGTGGAAATATTTGTGTCCAGGATACAATGTGTTGGGAGACACACCGGCAGGGCTTGCATGTGGGCTGTGCTTCTGAAGACCTGTGTGTGAATTCTGCCTTTGTGTGTTTGTGTGTGACAATATTGGGGCTTGAACTCAGGGCTAACTTTTTTGCTTACAGCTGTTGCTCTGCTACTTGAGCCACATTCCCATTTATGGCTTTTCGCTAGTAGAGGTAAGAGTCTCTTGGATTTGTTTGCTCAGGCAGGTTTTGAACCTTGATCATCCTGAGTGTCGAGAATTATAGGTGTGAGCCACCAGCACTGGGTTTTGCTCTGGTTTTCACTTACAGTGTGACACAAGCAAGTCAGAGGAAATCTCTACGGTTGTTTCTTCATCTTTCATCAGGGACACAGACCAGGCAGGCTGCGGGGTGGAATGCCATGTATTGGCATATACTTGAGCAGTCAGCCAGCGACTGTTTCCAATGAATATCTTGTGAGGGTCACCAGCTGGCCTTCTCCTCCCACCCCCTAGGTATGACATCAAGGGCTGCGAGGTGAGCCGCTGGGTGGAGCCCGCCCCTGAGGGAAGCCCTCTTGTTCTCGTGCTGAAGGACCTCAACTTTCAGGGCAAGACCATCAACCTGGGTGAGCCACAGAGTAGTTCCTGGCTTCCTCTTCCTCCATTCAGGGTGGAGTTGGGAAGGGGACCCTGGCACTTCTCTCTTCCCAAATCCTCTAAGACCAGATTCAGAGCTGGACAAATCCAGCTACTCAGGAGGCTGAGATCTAGAGGTCATGTTTTGAAGCCAGTCTGCACAGACAAATCTGAGACTCTCATTTCTGATTAAGCAGAAAAAAATAAAACTGGAACTAGAGCTGTGGCTCAAGGGCTAGCCTTGAGCAAAAGAGCTAAGGGACAGAGTGGAGGCCCTGAGCTCAAACCCCAATATCAGCACATTCACACACACACACACACACACACACACACACACGCACACACACACGAGAGCCTGGATTCTGAAATCAGATGGGGTTAAAATCCTGGCTTCAGACGAGTAACTGGGTGACTGACATAAACTGTAGCTGAGTTTTCGTTTGTGAAGTGGGTTGGATAATGATTCCTGCCCTCCTAGGGCAGGAGCAAGTGGAGCCCTGAGGCTGGCACGTTGCTGAGAGCTTGGGCGGGTGCTGCAGGGTCCCAGAGGAGCTGGCTGCTCCGCCAGATAGAACTGGACACCACCTTCCTGCGGGAGCTCAATGTTCTGGACTACAGCCTCCTGATGGCCTTCCAGCATCTCCATGATGATGAGCGGGGCCAGGGCAGCAGCCTCATCTTCTGCACGGCTAGGTGAGCACCCTGTCCCCAGGGCAGTGGCAAGAATGGCTGTGTGAAGACAAGCCAGTGGGATGTGGGATATAATCCAGGCAAAGGCTGGCAAGGGCAGTGTGTGGGGCATGTATGTGGGGGCTGTACAGGGTGGAGGACTGGAGAAACTGGTTGGTAGAGGCAAAAGGGAACAGATGAGCCACAGAGCAGGGAACAGAACTGACCAAGTACAGTGGTACACGGGCATGGTGGCTGACTTATAGAATCTGCCCATTTTTTAGCAGAGAGTGTGGAGCTTTGGAAGGTTTTGGAGCAGCAGAACAAACTGTTTGATTTCTGCCATAGAAAGAGTTCTTGAGCCAGGCAAAAGTGGCTCACACTTGTAATCATAGCAAACCAGGAGAATGAGATCTGAAGGTCACAATTCAAAGCCAGCCTGGGCAAGAAAGGCCATAAGACTCTTAACACCAATAACCCTCCCCGCTTATCTTCTCCCTCGCCCCCCGCAGAGAAGTGGAGCTGTGGCTCAAGTGGTAATACACCAGCCTTGAGTGAAAAGTCTCAGGAACAGTGTCCAGGCTCTGAGTTCAAGCCCCAGAACCACCCACCCACACAAACGCATAGCAGTTTTATGTCACCCACACTGTACCTCTCCGTGGGGACTGGCTGCATTCCTGTGGCTGGTGACTGCATGCTGGGCAGTACAGCTTGAGACCATTGGGGCCTCCAATGTATCTGGTGCCCCAGACCAGAGCACACAGAGGTATGGGAACAGGCTGGGGCTTCCTGGCAGAGGCAGCCCTCTCACCCTCCTTCTGGCCCACATGCAGATCTATGCACGGGGTGCAGAGCCCTGAAGATCCGGGAGCCCAGAACCGTCGGCTGCTGCCTGATTCCCCCAATGCCCTCCACATCCTGGATGGGCCCGAGCAACGCTATTTCCTGGGCCTGGTGGATCTCTCCACAGTCTATGGGCTCCGCAAGCGGCTGGAACACTTGTGGAAGACACTGCGTTACCCAGGCAGGTCCTTCTCCACTGTCAGTCCAGCTTGCTATGCCCGTCGCCTGTGCCAGTGGGTGGAAACACACACCGAGTGACCAACGTCTGGCTTCAATGCTCCCCATCTGGACAAGGGCCCCTGCCAGGACCAGGGAGCTTTCCTGCTGTTCCCAGTGATGGCCACACGAGGGCGGCACGTTCCAACTCAAGCAGAGGTTCGCCTGCTATTTCGAGTAATGGCCACATGAGGGCAGCACACTAAGTCATGCAAGGACCTGGCCTGCTGTTTCAAGTGTTGGCACATGAGGGCAGCACGCTGTAACTCATGCAGGGAGCTGGCCTGCTGTTCCAAGTGGTGGCCACACGAGGGCAGCACGCTGTAACCCATGCAGGGAGTTCATCTGCTGTTTCAAGTAATGGCCACAGCGGGCAGCATACCCTAAAGCGTTTCAAGTGATGGCCACACGAGGGCAGCACGCCCTAACATACAGGGAACTCGCCTGCTGTTTTAAATGGTGACCACACGAGGACAGTATGCCCTAAAGCCTGAAAGGAACCCTGCTTGCTGTTCCCAGTGATGGCCACACGAGGGCAGCACGCCACACCTCATGTTCTAACAACTTGGCCCCATTCACGGTGGTGCCAAGGACTCCCCTACGTTATTGGCTTATTTAACCCTAAAAAAGGACAAAAAAACACACAAAAAACCCAAACCCTATTATTCTCTTTTTACAGACCACAAAATGGAGGCTTGGGAGGGGGGTAAAGGGGCTAAAAGGTACCATTCAGCAGTAATGCTGAACCAGGATTCAAAACACCAGAGCCCTCAGTTCTGGGGAAAAGAGGAAGCTGCCTTGATGGGAAAAATGAGGCCCAGAGACTTTGAGGGGCTGATGCACTTGTAAGTGGCAAGGTCAGCCCAAAGACCCGGGCCCTGCAAGGGAGATCCTCTTAGGGTTTTCTGGAGCTCTGTGGAGCATTCTGCAGAGTCGCATTGATCTCTAGTGAATTCCACCCTTCTTGGAGAATCACTTTTCTCTTCTGTGAAATGGGCACAAGGCTTAGTGGTCAGACCCACGATTCTGAGCTACCACCATGGTGACCCATGAGGCTACCATCTAGGCCTATGGGAAGCCCCTCCTTCCCGCCTCTAGGAACCAGCCTGACTTCCACCCTCAGTCCAATCCAACCACCCAAACAAGCCTTTCTTCCTGAGCTTTTCTAGAGCCTGGCTATGTAACCAGGAAAAAGGTGCTAAATCTCTCTGTGCTTCAGTCATCTAATATGTGAAATAGGATGCTAGAGGACCTCTTTAATTCATTAAATGTTTATTGAGCACTTCCTATGTCATAGGCTCCGTGCTGGGCTCTGAAGATCTGGGCATGGTCTATGCGTTCACAGTCAGAACCCTGGAAGGTCCCTCCACCTGGATACTGGGGACTCTGGGGACCTGGTGGCTTGCACCTGTGACCACTCAGGAGAGTGAGATCTGAGAATTGTGGTTTGAAGCCAGTAGGGTCAGGAAAGTCTATGAAACTTCTTTTTTTTTTTTTTTTTGGTATGGGGCTTGAACTCTGGGCCTAGGCACTGTCCCTCAGCTCTTCAGCTCAAGTTAAGTGCTCTACCACTTGAGCCACAGCGCCACTTCTGG